CCCTGGAATTCGAGAATGATGATGGCAAGAGAGATCGTCTTCCTCAGTCTGGAAGGGGAGTGTGAAGGTCCTAGTGTTGGAGGCAGCCAGAGCAGCGGCTCCATCAAGGTCAGGTCCTCCACCCCTTTGTGCCTTGGAGCCTGTTTAAATACAGACCAGACCCCAGGCCTCCCAGAAAGGCTCGGAGGAGAGCAATGATGGCAAGTCAGTCTGTCACTAAACACCTGTGTCTGAAAGGTGGTTCTGAAACCAGGAGGCTCCTCTGTGAGTCGACATCTGAGTAGAGCTGAAGGCAGACTAGGAGAGTGGTGTGATAAGAGGAGCACTCTAAGCAGAGCAAGGGGCTCTGGCAGGAGAAGAATCCAGGCCCTGGCTGAGTCCTAGGAACCAGAGGAAGTGCGTCACAGACTGGCGAGGAGGGGTACTTGCTGTAGGCCTCACCGAGTTCTCTCTTCACTTTAAAACAACTAACATTCACAGAGGAATTTGGGGTTTCTTTTTAGATAATTAAATTTTTTTTAAACTGTGGTAAGATACACATTAAATATATCAATGTAACCAGCTCTGAGTGTAGCATTCAGAGGCACAAAGTCCATTTCCACTACTATTTGATCACCACCATCTCCAAAACTCACTTCATCTTGAAACTGGAACTAAGACCTAACTCGCCAAGGCCCCAGCCATCACTGTACTTTCTGCGAATAGGGTCACCTTGTTGTCGCTTGTGTCAGCACTTCCTTTCCATTTTTAAAATATACTTATATTTTGGGGTCTCCCAAGTGATGCTCAGGAGGCTTGGGGCCTGTCCTGGTGATTCCAGTCAGCTGGGCCTGTTTCAGTGTGAAGGTCAGAGGACGTGGTACCTGGGATCAAACAGGTCGGCTGCATGCAAGGCATATTCCTTAACCTGTGTACTCTCTCTCCGGCCCACCCCTCCCCTTTTAAAGCTAAATAATATTTCATCTCCATCATGCTTTGTTTATCCAAGCGTCAGTCCTAGGTATTATTCATAGATATTTTGGTTGCTGCCAATTATTGGCTCCTGTAAAGAATACTCTATGAGCACAGGTGCAAATTTTTTTTTTTTGCTTTTTGAGTCACACCCAGCCATGTACAGGAGTTACTCCTGGTTCATGCACTCAGGAATTACTTATGGCGGTGCTCGGGGGACCATATGGGATGCTGGGAATCCAACGTAGGTCGGCTGCGTGCAAGGCACACACCCTACCCATTGTGCTATTGCTCCAGCCCCTGTGCAAAGTATTTTTGAAGTCACTGATTTCAATTCTCCTGGGCATATGTCCAGATGTGAATGAAACTGCAAAATCACAGGGGTAATTTTCCGAGTAACCTCTGCACTGCCTTCCTTAGTGGATGTGATCTTACTTGTGACAATTCCAATTTTTTCACTCCTCACCAACACGTGCAGTCATTCTAATGTGTGTGAGATGCCATGACTGGGAGGTTTCAAGCCATGATTTAAAGCATTTACTGGGAACATTGGTGGTGGAGAATGGGCACTGGTAGAGGGATGGGTACTCGATCATTGTAAGCATGAAAGTTTGTAAGTCTGTAACTGTACCTCATGGTGATTTATTAAAAAAAGATTTTTTTTCCTGAAAAAAAAAAAAAAGCATTTTACTTTTGGTTTTGGGGTTGCACCCATTGAACTTACTCCTGGCTCTGTGCTGAAAACTGAATCAGGGTCAGCAGCATGCAAGGCTTATTTACTGTACTGCCTCCTCTTCAGTGCCTCAAGCAAAGCTATTCACATGATCTTTTCTATGTTTTATAAGACTGCTATGTGGAAAATCAACTGGAAGGTAGCATGTAGGAAAGTAGATGTATTCTCAAGGAGAGCTGCATGGATGAGGGCAGGAGATGCAGGGGGTGGCCAGAGAAAGGGCAGAAGAGGTTTGGAAATCTGAGAGGAAAGCAGCAGGTTCAAGGTCACTAACTTAACATAAATGAACCCCAAGGGGCTGCAAGGCAGCTTTAGTAACTTGATTTTAGAGATACCAGTTTGCTCCTAAAGCCTTACAGCACCGGGGAAAGAACGCCAATATGGCATAAAGTGGAACTAAACTGACCCATCAATTATCAAACAGGTAACTTCATTGCTACTGATGGAAAAACAGCATTAGTCTAACTGGCTTTTGAATGCAGAATTCTGACTAAAAACACCCCCTGTAAAACAGTCAAAGGACCAAAAAAAAAAAAAATCAATTTTGGAACTGAGTAGCATTGTTCTTGGGAGTTCCTGATGAAGTAGTTAAGAAACTATGTGTGTCCTGAAAGTAGACTATAGACCAAACATGAATGCCACTCAACGCCTCTTTTGCAAACCACAACACCCAAAAGGAGAGAGAGAACAAAAGGGAATTCCCTGCCAGAGAGGCAGTGTGGGATGGGGGGAGGGATACTGGAACCCGTGGTGGTGGAAAATGGGCACTGGTGGAGGGGTGGGTATTTTGATCATTGTATAACTGAAACCCAAGCACAAAAATTTGTAAGTCTACAACTGTACCTCATGGTGCTTCACTAATAAAAATTTTTTTAAAAAAAGAAAAAAAAAGAAACTGTGTGTTTATTTTAGGATCAATCCATGAACATGAGTCTTGATACTGGGCAACGGCACTCCAAAGAAGAAAGATGAAACTGAAATAAAGAGGATTAGAGTCCCATGATAATTATAAAATGATCAGAGAACTTAGGCATGTGCCCTACCCAAGTTCAACTCCTAGCACTACACAGTCTCCTGACCAACAATGGGTGCAGCTCTGTAGAGCTCCCAGCACCGCTGGGTGTGGTCCAGGTGATCTTGGGCATTGTAGGGCCCAACCGGCATCACAGCCTTGGGCCCCTGCACTGAATTGCCAGCCTGGTTGGTCAAGAATTAGCAGTGGGCACCCCAGACTTTCTGAGCACTACCAGGGAGCACCCCCTGAAGTTCTAAGAAGATTATAATCACAGTGACAAGTGATTCTGCTAAGGATTATAATAAATAGCGGATAAAAACCACTGCATCAAAGAATGGTTCATTTATTTCTTCGAAAGGTGGAGGAATAAAGAAAGCAGAATATTAAGTCTCCTAGTATGAGATCACTTGCTATACCCAAGTGCGAACAAATGTCTTTACTGTAGCAGTCTGGCAGACGCTGTCAGAACTAAGAGATAGCTCAGAACAAATTCAATGCTGAGACAAAAGTCAAGTGCCTGATATAACATTAAACACAGATTCACCTACAAAGTCCTCCTGTTGAAAATGCTCAGCCTGAATAGAGTGATGATGAGGAAACTATCTGAACGTTCAACACAATGACTAATCTTTAGTCTTCAAAAACGCCCAATACCAAAAGCACTTCTAGGGAACTTTTATACTAAATGCAATTACAGAGTCATGGAAACAAACGCCAATGTGTGCTCCTTGAATAGATGAGGAAACACCAGCACACTCACAGTCGGAGATGAGCTACAAAGCACAGCACTGTGATGAATAAGGCAGTCACAGTCCGGGCTGCACACAGTAACCTGCATGTATGTACTCACCCTCCCTGTGTGATGAGGGCATTGTTCACACAGGGTCAAGGAGGACAGCAGAAAGTCAGAAGTAAAGGCGCATAAAATCTGAAAAGAATTCTGATGATTCAAAATGAAAAAAATAGGAAAATTAATCAAATGATAAAAATGGATAAATCTAGGTGATGGGTATAAGGGTCGCTGTCACTGTCCTCCCATTGTTTATCGATTTGCTCGAGTGGACCCAGTAACACTGTGAGACTTGTTACTGTGTTTGGCATATCAAATATGTCACGGGTAGCTTGTCAGGCTTTGCCGTACGGGTGACTCTCGGTAGCTTGCTGGGCTCTCCTAGAGAGGCGGAGGAAAGGGTTGTCACTAACAATTTTGCAAACTATTTTCTCTAGCCTTTTCTGGTTTTCGCTTTGGGCCTCCTCTGGCAGTGCTCAGGCGTGACCTCCAGTGGTGCTCTGGGACCACACGTGGTGCTGGCGATTGGAACCAGAGTTTGTATCTCACTAACCCAAACTATCTTTCTTTGGCGTTGCTAATTCAAATGAAAGGTTAAGATGAGAACTTTTAGGAGAGATTAGGAAAATATATTTGCGAAGAGGGTACAGGACTATTAACCGAAATATTATTAAAGCTCAACAAAAACTCTAGGCAGACCCCCCTGCCCACCAAACAATATATATATATATATATATATATATATATATATATATATAGTAGATGAGCACAGAAACGCAACATCCTATCATTAGAAAACCATAAATTAAAACAATGAGATGTCACTACACACTGATTAGAATGCCCCAAATCTGTAAAACACATACCACAAAATACCCGGGAAAATATGGAGAGATGAAACTCATTTACTGTTGGTAAACGTACAAATGGTAGCACTGCTTTAGAAAGGCCTGGCAGTTTCTTACGAAACACACCCTCACACCACAAGGATGACCACTTAATTCTTACTCTAAGCATGTGGGGCTACCCTAAGTGGGTTCATCCACTGCACCAAAAGCATCACTTAGGGCAGACCACAAGAGGCTGTGCAGACACAGGCACGTATGTGGCCATGGCCGTATAGGGAATTGCACTTGGTTTGAGATGCTCTGAAGAACCAAACCTGAGGAGGACAGGAGACTGGGCAAGGTGGCCCCTTTTCAGGAATCTGCTCTCTGATCCCACCACTGACTCCCGCATCCTCACACTCTGCGACCACTGCTGCTCTGGTGGGCTTCTGGCTCAAGTCACTTCACTTCCTGAGGCAACTTTTATAGGTCTTCTCTGAGAAGAACACTTTCAATTAATAGTGAACAACTTTCAGTTAGAAATAAAATATGAACTGAGAAGTCAGTGTTTGGGAGACAAAGGAATCTTCCAGAAACCTTCTTCTGGACATTTCCACCTAGTCCTTTTATCTGGCCACTGGGTCTCTCATCTCATCCCCTGGGAACACCCCCCCTTTGAAGTACCTGTGGAAGTCACCCAGGTGTTCTGAATCAATATAATCATCCAAATTCAGGGTCAAGTCTGACACTTGCTGTGAGCCACATTCCTAGAAAAATGCAAACAGAAAAATGAGAGAACAGGAATATTTCTGGGCTAAGGGGGTTGGGGGGGTGTGGGGAGAACGGTAACAATCGAATCTTCAACTTGAATATATCTATGCATTTCAAGACATCACAGCTTAGGAACAGTGCTGACATGGGAAATCACCTTTCCAAGCAAAGCCCAGAAAACGCCCTTTATTCCCTTAAGCTCTTTTGAGGCTTAAGCACATGAATATAACTGAGAGTCTAAATGGAAGTACAACTTTTGACTTGGAGGTGGGTGACAAGGAGAAGCCAGCTGGCAGATGGCAGATATCAGCTAAACAGGGAAGCAGCAGGGACAGCAGGCATGGTGTTGGCAGCGCAGAGGAAGGGCACCAGGCTGGTGGCCCAGTACTTAATGCCCGGGGGCAGCAGCAGTGGTTTCCATGACATGTTGCAGGCACTGTTCTGGAAGACCAGACTAGAAATCTGAACAATTCAATGCGCAACCCATCCTGGTTCTTTCAATAAACCGATCTGTGTAAACTAACTGAATGCACTGATTAAAGACCTAAATAGTTAATAAAAGGGAGATGAATAAATTGGATCTAAATAGTTAATAAAAGGGAGATAAATCTAAATAGTTAACAAAAGAGAGATGAATAAATTATAGTACCAAAGAATACCACATAGTAGAGTCTGCAAGATATATTTATAACCACATCACTGTCACTGTCACTGTCCCTGTCCTCCCGTTGTTCATACTGCTCAAGCGGGCCCAGTAACATCTCCATTGTGACAACTGTTACTGTGTTTGGCATATCAAATACATCATGGGGCGCTTGCCAGGCTTTGCCGTGCGGGCTCGATACTCTCGGTAGCTTGTCAGGCTCTCCGAGAGGGGCGGAGGAAATCGAACTCGGGTCGGCCATGCTGGCTGCGTGCAAGGCAAATGCCCTACCTGCTGTGCTATTATTCCAGCCCAACCACTCCATGTAGTCTCCAAAACATACTGAGTGAGAACAGCAAGATGCAGTACAGGCAGACACTTTTAGCATGCGTATAAATAATAGGGGCACAATATTAGTGGTCCTCAAGGTGCTTATAGGCAGAACATAAACATTATCAAAGCGTAAATATATAACTGCAAATTGTGGCAAGCACCAGGCAGGAAAATAAAATGATGGTGAAAATAAAAATGTAGATTCTTCTGGCAAGGAGAATGGGACTTTTGAGACGAGCTGGCTAGAGTAGAGAAAGGCGTGCTCTGGGTATGGTGGCCAATGGCAGAGGGGAAAGAACTTTCCAGCACAGGAAGCATGAAATGTCAAACCTTCCAGGCAATATACACGTAGGCCGAGTGAAAAGCTAGAAGAGCCAGTTCCCTAGGACTGCACTGAGCTTTATGCCCTCCTACTGTCTGCCACAAAACGGACTGACCTTATTTACCCATGAGTGGTTATCTGACCAGTCCCCATATTGGAAAGTCCTTCTCCCTTCTACAAAACTAGGTGGTCAGCATCTCTAAGCACACAGCTTTTTTTTTATTTAAATGTTTTCTATAATAGTCTCTATTCCACTATTCAGGGTTCTCACCTCAGGTCAAGTAAGGACTTTATAAGCATTTTAGGTTCTAGAGTCACACTGGTTATGGATTTCAAAAAGGCGCCCAACGTCCACTGCCAGAGGCCAGCCCCTGAGCCCAGCACCTCACCAGCACGTTGATGATCATGCTGTTCTCCACAGTGACAGCCTTCAGGAGGAGTTTTTTGGACCCATCCTTAGACTCATACCGGAGGACATACAGGTCTTTGTTGCTGTTCCACTCGGGAGGCAGAAGTTCTGATTTCTTATCGCTGGGACCTGGCTAAGGAGACAGTAGGGTAGAAAGGAGGATCAGGACACAAAACTCTCAAGGACCCTTGTCCTTGTACTCATTTCTTTGATGCGTGGAGGTCAGAAGGCAGGAACCCAAAGCCACACAACAAGTTAGAGGTGCGGGAGCCAGGCCTGAACTCTCTTTTGGTGCTCCTCCCTCACAGCTGTATAAAGACAGTGCTTTATAGTACAGCCCCGGGTAGGACCTGTCAAGAAATCTGCAGCCTTGGTCTAAAGAGAAGCACCTTCTCCTGCCAAGAACAAGGCCACTCACCTCAGGGCTACCGTGAGATTCTGAGACTGCGTTTTTCATTACTAGGAACTCGGGCAATTTGCAAGAGGATCATCAAGTTGCTGGGGGGCAACACCCCCTTAGGGAGATGAACAGAGGTTTGAGGCCTCGCCTCTTTCCACAGCGGGAGAGGGGTCCCACTACTCTAAACGTCCTGTGTGAAGACTTGGCTAAGGATAAGGAAACTCACAGACCTGAAGCAAAATGAAACCCACAGAAACAAAAGTGAAACTGATTCAACCACTATGCTACTTGTAGGAAAAAGAAACTGTTCTCCTCCCCCAACAAGTTCCTGGGAAATTTGCAAAAGTTTTGGAAGCAGGGTGTTGCTCCAGGTGGGGGCAGAGTACAGAATGATCCAGGGATGCAGCTGAGACCTCCAATGTAATTGGGGGCACTTTCTGCTGTTTGTTTAAAGGTAGATTTGTGTAGGGGGGTGGGGGCAATGTGTAGTTATCTTCCTGACAACCCACCAGGATTTTTTTTAATCAGTAATAATCTACCCCCTCTCCATTTTTATCGAATCACTGTGAGATACACAGTTACAAAGTTGTTCGTGATTGGATTTCAGGTCATACAATGTTCCAATGCCCATCCCATCACAGTGCACACACATTTCCCACCACCATCATCCCCAGTTTCCCTCCTGCCACCCATCCTCCCCAGCCTGCCTCTATGGCAGACACTTCTGTTTGTCTGTCTGCCCCTCTACCCCCACCCCCCCAATTTGATCTGCTCACTATCCCATCATTTCTGGGGGCCCTGGGAGGTGAAGCTCCTACTGCACTGGAATCAGAGTTTCCCAGGCTGAGACCAGCTCTGATATAGGGCAGACTGATGAGACTGATGGGACAGCGGGGCACTGGCCCTGGTGATAACAGCCAAACACGGTATCCATCAGTCCTCTAGGCCCTAACATCAGTATCAGGCATTCCAGAGAGCTACAGATGGAAACTGGCCAGCCCAGCGAGCGTGCTGTGGAGTTGAACTACCTCTCCTCTGATGAAAAACAGGGCTCTGAGGGCTGCATGTGCCCATGGTCCTGGTGAGTCAAGGGCAGAATGGGCCTGGCATCCAGAGGTCCAGATGGGCGACTGCTGGGGGCTTTTATTAGCAAGGCCAGCTGGACAAGCCCCAAGAAAGTAAGGACTGTCCCTCTGACAGAGACCTGGGCCTGGTGGCACTGTGTAACAGCTGCAAGTCCATCCCACGGCCTAGGCGCAGAAACATATCCAAAGGAAACAGAGCCCTTAGGCCCCAACAGCAGAAACCCCAATTCTCTACCTCAAATCTATGGCCATCTTTGTCCCCTGGCCACCTAGCCCATCCAGGAGCTGAAAAGCTGGTTTGAGCTTCAAGAAACAATTTAAGCACAAGAATTTTCATGAAGCCAATAGCTTTGTTACTTTTAGTAATACTCTATGTACACAATTTCCCTGTGTCAAGGGAGACAACATCAAAGAGAAAAAGCAGAAATTTATTTTTTTCTGTTTAATTGTCAAACGACCAAGTAGACATCTAGGACGCCTTCCATGCTCTCTTATCACCTCTGAAAGGGTGGCGGGAGGTGGCAGCAGGCCACAGAAACATCTTCAGTCTGACAAACACTCTAGGTCAGCAGAATCTCCTGGCCTCGGCCAGAGAGCCCCCCCTCCCACCCCCCGCCAAATAAAACAATAGTAATGACGCCTCTGCGTGGGGTCTCTACAGGGAGAAGCAAAAACACACCCCACACCCCCCGCCAAGAGTGGAATACAAATGCCGTCCCCATGGAGGGCAGGTATGATCAGCACTAGGGGCAGACTGCCAGGGGGCACCCCTCACTTCTGGGCTCCCCTAAGAGGATGAGTGGGCAGCCAGAGTGGCAGGATGGGGTGGAGGGTGGAGGGCAGGAGGGAAACTGGGATCATTGGTGGTGGGCAAGGTACACTGGTGAAGGGACGGATGTTGGAACATTACGACTCAAATCTACTCATGACAACTTTGTAAATTTGTTGATCACTGTGATTCAATTAAAAAAAAAAAAGGACCATCATATTCTCTCTGCACGTTTTTGAAAATTTAGGGGCGCATAGTTTACAGCAAGGGGTGACAGATCCTCCCTGGACGATGTCAATACCAGTCTGATGTCCCTAAGGTGTCAGGGGACTCAGACAAAGCCCCCAGGGTGTGTGTGCTTGTGTGTCTGTGTGCGTGTGTCTGTGCTTGTGTCTGTGTGTCTGTTCGTGTGTGTCTGTGTGTCTGTTCGTGTGTGTCTGTGTGTGTCTGTGTGTGCATGTGTGTGTGTCTGTGTTTGCCTGTGCTTGTGTCTGAGTCTGTTCGTGTGTGTCTGTGCTTGTGTCTGTGTGTCTCTTCGTGTGTGTCTGTGTGTGTGTCTGTGTGTGCATGTGTGTCTGTGTGCGTGTGTGCTGTGTCTGCGTGTCTGTGTGTGTCTGTGCGTGTGTATATGCGTGTCTGTGTCTGAGTACGTCTGTGTGTGCGTGTGTCTGGGTGTGTGCTTGTGTCTGTGTGTGTGTCTGTGTGCGTCTATGTCTGTGTGTGCGTGTCTGTGTGCGTGTGTGTGCGTGTCTGCGTGCGTGTGTGTATGTGCGTGTCTGTGTCTGTGTGTGTGCGTGTCTGAGTGTGTCTGTGTGTGTCCCCGTGTGCACATCCGTGTGCGTGTGCGTCCCTCGCGCCTACCTGCTCGCCAGCGCCCAGGCCGGAGTAGCCGTGCGTGACCAGCTCCCAGTGCAGGAAGCAGACGAGCGCGTCCTGCGCGCAGCTGAGCGAGGGCGCGGCCGACGCGTACAGGACCTCCAGGCCCGCCATGGCCGCCACGGCCGCTCCGGCGCCCTCCGCGCCCGACGACTCGGCTGCGCTGCTCCTCGGGGCGCGGCGGCGTCTCCACCTGCGGCCGAAACGGGGACGCCCGGGGGGCGGGGCGCGGCTGCCGGAAGTGGCTCCCGGCGCGGCGCCGCCTCGCGTCCGGCGGGAAACCGAGCTCCGCGCTGCCAGTTCCGCGGGCCGCGCGCGGGCGCCGGAGGGTTGGGGGGTGGGGGCGGGGGCGTTGGCGGGGTGAGGGCGGGGTGCATGGGGCCGGACCCCGAAGCTGCATCTTTGTGGCTGACAGGATCGGTGCCTGCCCGGAAGGGCGCCTTGCTCTGGGCCACTGACTCCCCCTCCGTACGCAGGGTGGGGGAAGAGGTTAGGCAACGGGGCTGAAGCCTTTCCTCGCGACGGTTGGCACTTGTGCGGTGCCCGCTGTGTGCCACGTGACTCTAGGTGCTTTGCTGGCATGCTTATCTTTTTGGGGGGGGGGTTTGGGTCACACCTGGCGATGCACAGGGGTTACTCCTGGCTCAGCACTCAGGAATTACCCCTGGCGGTGCTCAGGGGACCATATGGGATGCTGGGAATCGAACCCGAGTTGGCCGCGTGCAAGGCAAACGCCCTACCCGCTGTGCTATTGCTCCAGCCCCCAGCTGGCATTCTTTTACGCAATCCTCGCAACCCATCCCTATAAGGGGGGTGCATTGATCGAGCCATTGTGCAGATGAGTGGAACAGGCACGGAGGTGACCAAGATGCCACTGGCAGCTTGGGAGTAGCAGACACGGTGCAGGGACCCAACAATCTGCCTCCTACAACAAAACGTGGACGTGCGTATTGTGCGCTAGAACCTGTGCCCCACGCTTCACCTCACTATCAACCATTCTGAGGGATGTTCCTTGATGACCTCTGTTTGCCCATGACAGCACCAGCTCAGGGAACTGAAGCTACCCCGAACGATGGATCCACTATCAAATTTCAATCTATGCTGGAGGGTCTGGAGACTCGGGTGGTCCTGAAGGTGCCAGTAACTTTGTACATCAAAAACATGAATGTTAACACGATTGTAACCATGTTACAACCAGAACAATAATTTTGTAAAAGAACCGGTTTCAATCTTGTATTTGCCCTTCCCTTCCTCGACAAATTTCTTCAAATCCACTTATCGTTTCTACCTAAACAAACTTAGTGTTTTCCATCTCAGATGATGCATCATCATCTCACTGGCAAGTGGACCAGACTCTCAACTGCTGGACTCCATTTTCTCTCTCCCTAAGAGTGTTCTACACTCAGCAGCTAAGATTCTGCATACTTTCCAGCTCCCCTGCTTCCACTTACTGGGTCCCTTCTGATGGCAAAACCTTTCCTGGTTGTTGAAACGCCCAGTGGACTAGTTCATTCAACCCACCATTCACTAAAGCTGTAGACTGGGTTCCCATGAACAGGTAGGTATTACTCAAAGGTTCCTACTCAGAGGAGTCCTCCTGTAGTGCCCACTGTGAGCCAGATCCAGATGAACTGGCTGCGTTGGTGTCCCCCAACCCCCCATGGAATCCCTCATAATTTTTTAAAATTTTATTTATTTATCTTTGCTTTTGGGGTCACACCTGGCGATGCTCAGGGGTTACTCCTGGCTCATGCACTCAGGAATTACTCCTGGCAGTGCTTGGGGAACCATATGAGATGCTGGGAATCAAACCCGGGTCGGCCTAGTGCAAGGCAAACGGCCTGCCCGTTGTGCTATCGCTCCAGCCCACCCCCCTCATGATTGTTTTAGACGAGAGTGAGACAAGATAACCCAGTACCAAAGATGCCAGATGGAGCGATAGCACAGCGGGTAGGGCATTCGCCTTACAAGCGGCCAACATGGCCGACCCGAGTTCGATTCCTCCGCCCCTCTCGGAGAGCCCGGCAAGCTACCGAGAGTATTCGATATGCCAGACACAGTAACAACAAAGTCTCCCATGGAGACGTTACTGGGCCCGCTCGAGCAAATCGACGATCAACGGGAGGGCCTTTACCTTTACCTTAAAGATGCCAGTGTGGAGGCCCTTGAAGGTCTGTGTAAGCCCTGAAGTATAATGTATTCAGTCTGGGGTCAGAGGAGGCTCCTTGGAGGAGCAGTCCTCTGACCCGAGACTGAAAAGGACTGAACCAGAATGGAAGCTGGAGAGTTAACTGAGGAACAAAAGGTGTTCCCACCAAAGCAAACGGTGTCTGCAAAGACTCAGAAGTGTGATGTTTAACTAGCCATGTGTGATGAGAGGATCTGTGGCACCTTCTGAGGGAGGCCTTCTCTCATCTTCTCTGCCCATGACGACTGTCCCCTGTGGGCAATGAGCCACAGTGGGTTGGCCAGGGGGGAGTATGGGACAGCATGTAAGCTGCTGGCTGCCTTGGCGAAAAAGAGATTTTTTAATTGGAGCTGATTAGAATGGCTGGTTCCGTGGTGCTGGTAAAAAGCATGCTGACTACTGGTTAGCTTATTACCACTTTATGTTTTTTATGGGCATGCACACCTCTCAGCTGGACAGACGGCGGCTCCATTTCCACCCCTTGGTTCACGAACCACTGCTTGGCATACAGTCAGCGAGAGCCAGAGTCCCATGGCATCTAGGTTCTTTGCTATGCACCATTATCTTGGTGTGAGCTTGAGCTGTCTCCAAAGCCAACAAGAAACAAAGATCTGAGTATTTGGGGGAGGGGACGTAATTGTGTCCAGAGCAGCCGTCGTGGGGTGGGGCCTGGGCAGGAAAGGTAGGACAGCTCAGAGGCATTGCATCATCAACTGGATTACCTCTGGGGCCCATATACGATGTGTCTGATAATGATAATGATATAACAATGATATAATTCAGATGATATAATTCAGAGCTTGGGAACTGGGAGATTCTTTTTTTTTTTCACCCACCCTCCCATGGCCGCAGGTTGAAGGCCACTTCTGGGAACGTGAATACCCTCAGTCTAGAGACGTTTAGAGAAAGCAACCTTGGTTGTTTAGAGATGACCTCTGAGCAGGGTCACTGTAAGGTGGTATCTATGCCCATCCCACTAGGAACCAATCGCCAGTTTGGTGAATGCTGGCCCTGCTGCCAGCTTAGAGTGGACACTTGCACCTGTATTTCAAGACTACGCGTGAGCACTAGCTCTTAGTGACTTAGCATTAGTCTGTGACTCACTTGGGGGCTAGTAATGTGTTCTGAGTGCCCTAGACCTCAGGATTCCCCAGGGATGGGGACAAATGGGAGGACCCCCCCCCCCCACTCCCACTCTGGGCTAAAGACTATCTCATGCCTCCACTCCCCGCTGATCCAGCACTTTCTGTGCTCTTACCTCCATCAACGGGGGTTTTCCCTATGAGACCTGTGAATGGTTGGAATCCCTTTAGATGGAAGATGCCACTTCCCAGATGGGCCCCCGCTGCCTGGGTCTCGGGGAGCCCATGCCAGAGAGGAGGCCTGAGATGGTGGGGAGAATGTGACCTGCGGCTGCTCTGGCTAGTTCCTGGTTGCCAAGTGACAGCAATGTAGATGTTCCAAGCTCCCTGTCTCCTTGGTAACCTTGAAGCGCTAATCTGAGGAGTTGTGTCCAAGAGGCGTTAAGGTAGACTCACTCACCACTGAAATTCTTTTATTCCTCTGCCCTAACATCAACCCAAATGCCCAACCTCCTCCAGGAAGCCCTCATTGACTCATAATGTTGAATGCTAACAGCCCAAGTCTAGTTCCCCTGGTCCGTGTGGTGTCCAACATATGGGACACCTGAAATATATATGCCTTTAAAAACATGTTATAGGGGCTGGAGAGATAGCACAGCGGGTAGGGCATTTGCCTTGCATGCAGCCGACCTGGGTTCAATTCCCATCATCCCATATGGTTCCCTGAGCACCGCCAGGAGTAACTCCTGAGTGCAGAGCCAGGAGTAACCCCTGTGCATCGCCGGGTGTGACCCAAAAAAGCAAAATAAATAAATAAATAAAATAAAAACATGTTATAATTTTAAAAATTTATGTTATAATTTTAAATATATTAGTTAAAATATATGCTCATTGTGTAAGAATACACATAGCATACTATTTTGCAATCTTTACCAAATGAAATGGAGCTTAGTGGTATAAAATATATTCATATTATTGTACAATTGTCACTAGGATTCTTCTCCTGAACTCTTGGCAAGATCTTGCAAAACTGAGACTCTGTGGGCTGGAGAGATCAAGAGTGGGGAAGGTGCTTTCTTTACATGCGGTCCACCCAGGTGCAATCTCCGGCACCTCATAGAGTCACCTGAGTCCTGTCATGAGTGACCCCTGAGCACAGAGCCAGGAAGAAGCCCTGAGCACCGCTGTGCGGCCCCCAAACTAAAACAACCTGTGTTGGCTTTACATTTATTATTTAAATTTTTTAATTAATTTTTTGAAGTCATATCACTGTGAGATAGTAACAAAACTTTTGTGATCGGGTTTGAGTCGTACAAAGTTCCAACACCCGTCCCTCCCTGAGTGTACATTTCCCATCACCAATGTCTCCAGTTCCCCTCCTGTCATACTCACCTCCCCTGGCCTGCCTCTATGACAGGCACTTTTCTTCTCTATCTCTGTCTCTGTCTCTCTGTCTCTGTCTCTCTGTCTCTGTATCTTTCTGTCTCTCTGTCTCTCTCTCTCCCTTTTGGGTATTATAGTTAGCAATACAGATACTGAGAGGCCGTCGTTTGGTCCTTTACCCACTTTCAGCACTCATCTCCCTTCCAGAGTCATCCCTCCCGACCATCATTGTCATAATGGTCCCTTCTCTGTCCCAACTGCCTCTCCCCCAGCCCTTGAGGCTTCCAACTGTGGAACAATCCTCCTGGCCCTTGTTTCTACTGTCCTTGGGTGTTAGTCTCATACTGTTTATTTTTTTTTAAATGTTCCACAAATGGCGACTCTACCTTTAAACAAAAAAAACTTTCCATTCCTTTCACCTCCTGGTCCTCGGGAACCCTCTGCTTCCCTTTCTAAGGATTTGACTGGTCTAGGAATTTTATGTAAGTGAAACTGTATGGCACTTGT